AAAGGGATAGATGATAAGACAGAAAATATCATATTGCCTCTATATAAATCCATGGTACTCCCACATCTTGAATACTGCATGCATATCTGGTCTCGCCATCTCAAAAAAGATATATTGAAATTGGAAAAGGTACAGAAAAGGGAAACAAAAAGTATTAGGGGTATGGAACAGCTTCCGTATGAGGAGAGATTAATAAGACTGGGACTTTTCAGCTTGGAAAAGAGACGACTAAGGGGGGGATATGATAGAGGTCTATAAATCATGACTAGTGTGGAGAAAGTAAATAAGGAAGTGTTATTTACTCCTTCCTATAACACAAGAACTAGGGGTCACCAAATGAAATAAATAGGTAGCAGGTTTAAAACAAACAAAAGGAAGTATTTCTTCACACAACACACAGTCAACCTGTGGAACTCTTTGCCAGAGGATGTTGTAAAGGCCAAGGCTTTAACGGGTCAAAAAATAACTAGATAAGTTCATGAAAGATAGGTCCATCAATAACTATTAGCCAGGATGGGCAGGGATGCAAAACTATGCTCTGAAGTGTCCCTAGCCTCTGTTTGCCAGAAGCTGGGAATGGGTGACAGGGGATGGATCACTTGATGTTTACCTGTTCTGTTCATGCCCTCTGAAGCACCTGGCATTGGCCACTGTCGGAAGATACGATACTGGGCTAAATGGACCATTGATCTGACCAAGTATGGCATTCTTATGTTCTTATCAACTGGCAAATAAGTTCCTCGTATTCCTATACACAAGGACAGCTCAGAAAGTTATTGGACTGTGGAGATGTATACAGAACCTGGAATAGAAATACCAGAGGTGATGAAAGAAAACTTACTTTTACAAAGAGTTTCACAAACAATCAGAACCTCCACATGGTGTAGAGAATTAATACTTTTCTACCGTCATATCACAAAGGATATATTTTATCTTTTCTAAACCATTGGCTCTAGATCACCACTGACAGTCAGCTTAAGAATAAAGTTTGTAAATGCCTTTCCACTTCCTTTATTTCTCCCCAGTTCTCAAAGACAATTTGAAGAAGTTCAGTATGACTACAGACACCACCTCCTACATAGAGGGCCAAAGGAGTAGTCCCTTCACAGTTGTGTACTCTGTTTTTGGAGGTAAGGGATGAATGGATTGCCAAAGGCAATACCAGACCTTAAGCTCTTCAAGAGATGCACAAAGAAGACTCCCTTCAGGATGGAAACATTAACTTCCATTTTGCCCATGATTTCTCAAAAGAATTTTGATTGTAATACAGTTGCCTGTCAACATGAGCCCATCCATCCTTCTCACCAAAAGGTACTCAGGTTTTTCTACCAGAACAACAGTTATCAAGGGCCACTGCCCTTTGTACAGCCCCAAATATATTTATAAACATTTAATAATTGTGACGGAGGACTTAGGGCAGGTCCACACTGGGGCGGGGGATCGATCTAGGAAACGCAACTTCAGCTACGAGAATAGCGTAGCTGAAGTCGACGTTTCGTAGATCGAACTAAATTTACTTACTGCGGGTCCACGCGGCGCAGGCAGGCTCCCCCGTCGACAGCGCTTCCTCCTCTCGGCGAGCAGGAGTTCCGCAGTCGACGGGGGAGCGCTTCTGGGATCGATCTATCGCGTCCAGATGAGATGCGATAAATCGATCCCAGAAGATCGATCTCTACCCACCGAATTGGGCGGGTAGTGTGGACCAGCCCTTAGAAAGGAAATTCTTTTGCCTTCTCACAGAACACATTCTGAAAGAGGCATCAACCAGGGAAGAAACAATCCAGAAGACATCAAATATGATAATCAGAGAGCATGTAGCTTTATTTATCACCAGTTTAAGACAAAAATAGTCTCATCTTCAGCAGGGCCCAACTCAACACCAAAATAGTTATTCTGAAAGAAGACAGGTTTAGATTTAAACAAGTCTTAAGATTATGAGATCCGCTTTCTGATCATGCAGAATGAGGGACCACGTTCTCCAGGGCACTCCCTTTCTTCAGCCATATAGTGAAACTTTAATGAGAGATCTGAACTTGCAAGGATGGAGAGCTCATAGTTGGAAAAATGAAAATCCAGGGAGTTTGGATGATGCAGAGAAGAAACCCCAGTGTAAACTTCTTGGAGCTTTGAGCAATAAGCTTTGCCTTTCTGTACCTTTGAAAATATATCAAGGAAATATATCTCCTTGTGAGGTCAGACAATAGCTACACAGTAACATACCTTAAACAAGGAGGGGAGTACCTGCAACCAGTCTCTTAACCAAGAAGCCATTCACTTCTTCCGTGGAGCAGAAAGGGATACTGATTGTAAAAACACCTCAAGAAAGCAATCTGGATTTATCTGAAGAGAAACACACTAGTGAGGAAATATACTGCAATATTTGTGATCCATCATCCATGAAGCAGAGTGGGAACCAAGCCTCAAAGTCTGCTATAGCAAATTGGATCAAAGCTGGTATACTGCTAAGGATATTCCTCCTCTGGAAAGTATTGCAATTCATTCTATCAGATCAGTGCTTATATCCTGTACTGAAAAACTTTGGGCCTCCTCTTGTATGATTTAATACAGTAATATTAATGTATATGTATTAATGTATTTGTCTGGTGATATGATATGGTTAGAAAATTCAACCACCCCCTTTATTTTGGTCTGTTTATAATTCTAAATTTAACAGAATGTATACTTTACCTAGCTGGTCACTGGTATTTCGCCTATCTTCTTTACTTCATATTATTCTTGTGCAGGAGTGATCACATGTAAATAGTTAACTTTGAATATCTAGTTAGTTGTCATGCTTGGATGTTCACTTTTTCTAACTGTAGTGCTTTGGAAGTGTTCATATGGCCATATGTTCTGGGAATGGAGCTACTAAGGCTTGGTCTACACTTACCCCCCAAGTCGAAGTAAGGTATGCAAATTCAGCTACGTGAATAACGTAGCTGAATTCGACATACCTTACTTCGAACTTACCGCGGTTCAGACGCGGTCCACACGCGGCAGGCAGGCTCCCCGTCGACTCCGCGGTACTCCTCTCGTTGAGCTGGAGTACCGCAGTCGACGGGGATCACTTCCTGGTTCGATTTATCGCGTCCAGACCAGACGCGATAAATCGAACTCGGAACTTCGATCCCCAGCCGCCGAACTAGCGCGGCAGTGTAGACCAGCCCTTAGAGATTTGTCCTCCTTCCATCTTTTAGACTGCTTCCAAACTCTGAAGACTGTATGGATCACCTAATAGTAAGGACTGCTAGCTCTGTTATTAGAGAAAATAAATTAACAGGTAAGAACAAATTTTTCTTTACACACTTGTGTAGCTTTCTATTCTGGGATCTCAGTGTTTTACAAATGATAAAAAAAAACTTTTTATTAAAAAAAACTCTAACATCCCTATGAGGGAGGGAGTTGTTTTTTCTATCTTACTTATGATTAACCTGAACCTGGTATAGTCACCTACCCGTGCAAAGTAGATGCTAAAGGTTATTATTTTGATTTGGTAGCCTTTTACACCCACTTTGCATTGGTGTAAATGACTACACAAATTGCAGGGAAACCAGGGTGATTCAAGCCTAGAAAAGTTAAGGCCCAGATTTTCAAGCGTTCATTAATTTTGGATGCCTCAGCTTCTGCCCAAATTGATATATAGAGCCTAATTTTTAGAAATATGGCGCACCCATATTGAAGTCATCTGAGGCACCCAAAATCAGTGGACAGTTCTTTGAAAATATTGGACTAAGGATTTTGGTCCAAAGTCACTAAGGGTATGTCTACACTTAAAACGGTATAGCAGCACACCTGCATTGCTGCCTATGCACTGTTGTAGTGCTTCAGTGTAGTTGCTTGCTGCCAATGCCAAAGGGAAGGCTTCTCCTTTTGGCATAGGCAAGCCATCTCCCTGAGAGGCAGTAGCTAGGTAGAGCAGTAGATCTTGGTTCTATTTACAGCTTTATTACAGCAAGAGACTTCCAATGGAATTCTTCTGTCGACCTAGCATTGTCTACACTGGGGGCTAGGTCGGGATAGCTACATCTCTCCGGGTTGTGGATTTTTCACACCCTTGAGAGACGTAGCTATGCTGATGTAAATTCCCAGTGTGGACCAGCCCTCAGGAAGTCTGTTGCAAAGCTGTATATAGAACCCAGATCTACTGCCTCCTACTCTTGACTTTTAAGTTGTAGAATAGATCATGCTTTGTGCCTGAAATATAGGTATGTCAGATAAAGTAATCCATATGGATAAAAACATACATGGCATATAATGTGTTTTTAGATTGGACTACTCTATAGACATTACTATATGGGGAAGTGTGACCTAGAGGTTTAAATAGGGTGTGTGTGGAGGCAGGAGACCTGGATTTGATTCCTAGAGACCTGCCACGGCTTGATATCTAATGTCTCTGTGCCTCACTTTCCTCATCTGTAAAATGGTGTTATTTATCATATAATAATTCATAGTGTGTAGAGTGTGCTGATATCTTAGATAGAAGGCACCACAGAAATGTATGGTGGCTGTATTATGATGCTCTGGGAGCATCTGTCTCAGAAACATGCACCATTTACTAAGGGTCAGTATTTGCCACTGGTGTAACAAAATGGCCTGCTGTCCCCTTGCCTTGTAGCAGCAGGAGCCTGAGGGGTAGGGTGTGTGGGGAAAGGGTTCTCAAAGCAGGCCTCTGAGTGCGCTTTGGGGAGATAGAAGTGGCTGTGCGGTTGGGGGAGCGAGGCGTCCTTTGGCTAGGCTGGGAGTGCGTGGTTGCCTATGAGCTGCTCTCCTCATGCACAGCAGCATTGCACTAAGTCTCTCAGAGCTGTACATCCCGCCTCAGCCAACCTCCTCTCCACTCACTTTTATATTTGCGCGCCCTTTCAATCCTCAGTGACGTGTCCCGCTCCGCGGCCAATCCGCGGCGCCCTCTGGTCAGGACAATGGAAGGGGCTCCACCAATCAGGTTGGCCGCTGGCTTGGCGGCCGCCAATAGGAGCGGGGCTGTGTTGAGAGTAATGTTACCAGCGCTGAGAGCGTGAGGAGGCTGCGTATCGATCCCGCTCTCAGCCATTGCGGTGCATTGGGCTACAGCGAGACCAGGCAGCACTGGGGGCCAGCGCGAGCAGCCGGGCAAGTGTCTCAGCGCCTGTGGCTCGCTGCTGAGTGACCGAGTGAGTGTGCGAGCGAGGGAGGCGGTGAGTATCCCGGGCCGGGCGCTGGGTTGCGCGTTCCGGCGGCGCCAGCGCAGCGCTCGCTCTGCCTCGGCCACACAAAGACGAATTAGGCTGCGTCTGAGGCAGGCTGTTGGCGGGCGGCGGGGCCCGCGGGCGGGGCGGGAACCGGCCGGGGGCAAGCGGGCGAGCTCGTGAAGCGGGCAGGGGATGGGAAGGGAAAATCTCCCCGTCGGGCTCGGTCTTGCGGGGGGGGTGCGGGCGGCGCCGCGCTGGTCCCGGCGCCCTGCGGCAACTATCGCCGCAGGGCCGGGCGCCGGGCGCTCCCCAGCGGGGCTGCGGCCGGGGCGCGGGGCCGTGTCGGCGGCGGGCGAGCCGGAGCTGTGCTCGCTGGAACATGGCTGACGAGCGCCGTGCGGAGGACGCGAGGCGCGGGAGGGACGGAGGGCGGGGGCGCAGTTCGGGGAACTTTTCCAGCCGCCTTTTCTCCCTTCGCCAAGGCCGTGGCGGGGTTTCCCAGCCGGGGCGAGTGGCCGGCCGCCGTGCGCGGGGCGCCTGGGGGCTGCGGCCGGACGCGGCCCGCTCGCCGGGGGCTCGGGCCGCGCTTGGAAGCGCGCCGCCCCCCTCCCCCACCGCTGTCATGGCTGAGCGTGCGCCGGGCGCGCACACAAAGGGAGGCAGGAAGGAGCCATGTTCTCTGCGCGGCGGCGGCGAGCAGCGGCCATTCCGGGAGGCAGCCGCGCTCCGAGCTGGCGGGAGCAGCGGGGACCGCGCCGCTGCCGTAGGTAGACGGGGAGCCGGGGGCCCTGCCTAAAGCGCGGCCGCCGCGCCGCACCGGAGCTGCCCCAGCCCCCATTTCAAGGGGACTTTCTCTCATCGCCAGGCCGTTCGCACAAAATGGGAGGAATAGCGCTGCTGCTGCCCTTCCCGGGGAGTAGCCTGCGCCACTGCAAACCCTCTCCCAGCTCGCGCGGGAGCGGGACCCGCCACAGCTCTGCCTAGAGACTGATTAGACACGCGCTCCCCGTTAGACACGACAGAGGGGCGCAGGCTTTGCAGTGAGGTTGGCTTAGCCTGAGAGCTCGTGGCAGCGCCAGCCGTGGGCTTACTCTAGTTCCTGCAGTCACACGAATACATGATTAATAAACGCAGGGTTCCCCCCCGCCCCACCAGCAAGATTGTGTGTTTAATTCTTGGGCGTGGGAATTGGTTATACAAGTGAAGCCACAACTGCACCTTCAGATTTAAGAAAATACATTAATCTCCTCCTCCTCTACAGTTATTGCTTCATGTCTTTCCAGAATGCATAAATCTTGAAGATTTTTGATGCAAATACATACACCATCTACTGTGCCCTTTCTCTGATTTTCCCCCCTTCTTTTGTAGCATTTTAAAAAAATAATTTTTAAGGGTACTTAAGTTTTCCTTCACCCCCTAATGTTCAAGATGGCTGGAAGATTGCTTTTAAATGCAAGTTAATATGATAGTTGCAGCGTTTTAATTGGGCTGTTTAAGGTGAAAAGACATTTACAGTGTTAATAAAATGTGCTGTGGAATTCCCCTGTTTCATTTTTTCTTTATTTTCCTCCCACTTCCTTTCTATGAAAAGGAACAAGTGAACCCCCCCCATCCCTCCCAGGTGTCACTAAACTATCCTTGAGTGAAGGGGTTGCTCTGGAAGCATTTCCATTGCTGGTGGGGAATGGCTCCTGGTTCTACAGTCTTGTTTACTCAATGGAAACTTCAAACCGGATGTGTTTAGTCACAGAGCAGAAATCTGTTTGTCCATACGCCAAACCGATCGGAAACGCTGCTGCTGTGGCAATACATGCACACACCACCCACTTGTTTCACTCCTCTCTGGAAGAGCAAAGTTTATGCCGCAGTGGGCTGGAGGTGTTTTTTTCCCGACTTATGGAGAAATTATCTACCTTGTGTGAATGTGCTGAGAAGATATTTTTCCATCCTTTAAGAGAGATGGGGATGTCTGCTCAGTGAGCACAATCTTCTATATGTCATACATAAGTGTCATGCTTTTAAAGCCATTGGTTGGAACATGACATGTTTCAGTGGTATATTTAATTCCACTATCCCTAGCTGCACATTGTAGGGAGAATAATTTTGCAGTATAATTAAAGTGGAAAGTAACTTGGCATACTTTATTTCTGTGCTTTTTTTGTTTTTTTATGCAAAGTGATATTTGTAAAGCATTTTGAAAGTGGGGAAAAAAGAGTTAATATTCTATAACCCAACAGGCTGATCAGGATAGGATACTGTAATATTTCCCCCTGCCCCACAATAATTTCTTCTTGTTTAAGCCTTTCTAGCCCTTAATTAGCTGACATGTGGCTCTACCAATCAGGAGGGGAGCAACTTCCCTTGAGACTAATGCCAATACTTGCCAGCAAATTGACTAGCAACAGACACTCTTGATTGCTGATGACTCTTTTAAATATAACAGGAAGATTTTTTTGATAATAGCCAAATGTCTTGAAGACCAGGTTGTTTGTATTGACCAGGCGATCTTTTTAAAAAAAAAAAAAAAAAAAACCAACAACCTGTAATAGCAGTCTTTTTTGCAAGTTGTATATAGTTTTCTAGGAGAGTTCTGTAGCTTGTATATAATCTGAGAGGTCCTCTCATAAAAGTTAAGAGAGCTGCTCTTATACATCTTAGTCAACAAACTCATTCTTCCCAACTTCTTATGATATTGTGTGGGAGCCAAAAAATAGTTTTAAAGGTTTGTTTTTCTTCTGTGTTACAGAAAATCAGCAAAAATGGGCAAAGGTGATCCTAAGAAGCCGAGAGGTAAAATGTCTTCATATGCCTACTTTGTGCAGACTTGCCGGGAGGAGCACAAGAAGAAGCACCCAGATGCTTCAGTGAACTTTTCAGAGTTCTCAAAAAAATGTTCAGAACGGTGGAAGGTAAGATAAACCAAAAAAAAGTACTAATTTACAGGATTACAGCATAGATTACCTTAGATGAATATAATCAAGACTGAATTGATATTTACTTACATCATTCAGCAACTTGTGAATGCATTTCCTGCCTTTAATGTTACTCCTGTTACAGTTTGGAATGGGATCAGATGCACTTTTGAATCATGCACTCACCCCCGTTTATTGTTTTATAGACTATGTCTGTTAAGGAAAAAGGAAAGTTTGAAGATCTGGCAAAGGCTGACAAGGTTCGTTATGAAAGAGAAATGAAAAGTTATATACCACCCAAAGGGGAAACAAAAAAGAAGTTTAAGGATCCTAATGCACCAAAGAGGCCTCCGTAAGTAGATTTCCAGTTAGTGTGTCTTGAACAGGAGCATTGCATTGAAATGTATACATAAAATGGCCTTTTAAAAATCCAAGTTAGAGGATTTGAAATATAGAAGAGTACACAATTTCTAAATGTAGTGCTGCAAGTAACCACATTTAAAAATCAGTTGGATTTAGTGTTATAAATACCACATCATAAAAAGATCATATCAGGCTAGAAATAAGATGTAATTTTTTTTAACAGTGAGTGTAAATAACCATTGCAACAATTTGCCAAGGATTGTGGTGGATTCTCCATCACTGATCATTTTTAACCCAAAATTGGATATTTTAAAAAAAAAAAATGCTCTAGGAATTATTTTGGAGACGTTCTATGCCTGTGATGTACAGGATGTCAGACTAGATGATGATGATCCCCTTTCTGGCCTTAGAATCTATGAATCTGTAAATCTGGTCCATTTCAATTATTGTTTACTTGAAACTTGGCATAGATCTATTCTAAAAATAAACCCAACACTGTTACGATCAGTGTTGACCGTTTTTATTAATAGAATTTTGCTAGCAGCCAGACGAAATAACTCTAGTTTAAAACTGGTAGAACATTAGGCCCCAGTCCTGGAACCATTCTGGCAAATGCAAAACCATGTGTCCACACAGTCCCTTTGAAGTCACGGGGGCTCTGAACCGGTGCAGGGAACTGCGTACATGGAAACAGTTTGCAGAATTGAGCCTTTTTCCTTAAAATAGGCCATACCTCCGAAAGATAAATGTGAAATTAGTATGATACCAAGCTTGTATGGTGCTAAATCTTTCCATTTTTAAAATGGAGCAAACTCTAAAAGATAAACTAAGAGTGGCTGGTACTGACATCTGGAAAGCCTTCTACAGTAATCATGAGATTATTTTAATATTTCCTGTGAAATAGTTTGCACGGTCCATATTCTCAGAACTCTTAAAATGGGAGAAACTTGGTTGGGTTATGCACAGCATGGGAGTGTGATTTCTAAAGCTCACTAACGTGTTGCACATTAATTGGTCTGTGTAGACTGTGCTGGTGCACACTAAATGTTCCCTATTGTGCTTTAACATAGTATTACTGTATCATGTAGTGAAGGTCTCAACTTGCTATGTCTAGTACAATAGTTTAAACTTTATACTTAAAATTACAATTTTTCTTTTCAGTTCAGCTTTTTTCTTATTCTGCGCTGAATTTCGTCCGAAAATCAAAGGAGAACATCCTGGTCTGTCCATTGGAGATGTTGCAAAGAAACTGGGAGAGATGTGGAATAACACCGCTGCAGATGATAAACAGCCCTATGAAAAGAAGGCTGCTAAACTGAAGGAGAAGTATGAAAAGGTAAATAATGGGATTCAGTGTGAGCAAAGGGTTCTTCCCTGTTACAATTATTTAATTATTCAAATTTGAATTGGAAGTAAATAAACCTATCTCATAGAGCTGGAAGGAACTCTGAAAGGTCATTGAGTCGAGTCCAGCCCCCTGCCTTCACTAGCAGGATCAAGTACTGATTTTTGTCCCAGATCCCTAAGTGGCCCCCTCAAGGATTGAACTCACAACCCTGGGTTTAGCAGGCCAATGCTCTAAACCACTGAGCTATTCCTCCCCCTCTTCTTATGGGAAAATAATATAACATCTCCATGTGCATAAATTAGTGAGCGTTGTGTGTATCAAAGGACTAAGTGATTGACTTGGTTTTAAAAAAGAAAATTCCTCTAGAATACTCTGACATTGTACGTCACAAGTTTAAGTATGAAAATGTCAAATTACCTTAGCATCTAGAGAGAATGCCTCTAATAGCATGTCCTTGTGAGGATTATGACACTTAAGTTCTGAAGTATGATGAATTAATCTTTTGATGTTTTAGTACATATCATTGTATTTGTTTTTAATAATAAAAGTAATGGTTCATAGCAGCAGTTGATTTCTGCAACCAGTTTGCTCTATTAAGTAATACCAATAAGGAAAAATGTCCTCTTTAAATTTGTGTTTGCCACATACTATTGAAAAATAGTCATAGCATATGTTCATATTAATTATCTTAAAGAACAGTTTTTAGTTTACTTTATACCTACAGAGTTAAATATTAGAGGACAAGATGTTTGTATTAGACATGTATTCTATTGCACCCACTTTGTGTTGATTTCCTTCAAACAAGTAACATAGGTATTAATGCATCTTAGGAAGCCATTGTCAATCTATTAACTTGTTTTCTTGTATCATTAAGGCTAAATCCTACTTCAGTGATAGGAACTCTATTTGAGTATTGGGGATATAGAGCAGTGGCAATGACATTTTGATTTCCATATTCCCATCCCAGGACAAGATAGCTAAGGGAGAGAGGGATGTATGATGGGATACATACCAATTCTCCTTTACAAAGGAATAGTACGCACCCCTGTCTGCTGTGTATTGCACACTTCAGCATGTATGCTGAAATTCTGATCAATAGTGTCTCCTTGCTGGCAAACAAAACCAGTTAAGGGGTGATGGCAAATTAATGGGCAAGTAACTGTGTGGTGGGGGCTTCTAGCACTAGGTAGGAATCATGCCCTGAAGATACACTGTGGGTTAGAAAACTTCCTGTGTTAGTCATTTGAGTGCAACACAAGGCATAATTTGGCCTTTAGTACGTTAATTATTCACATATAAATCTACATTTTGGTATGATTTAAACAAAGAGTAAATTCAGAGCTGCAAGTAAACCTTCCCCAGTAGTTTAAATTATAAATTGACTGAAGCATTTTAGTTTAGGTTTATTTTAAATATTACAGGGGGAAAAAAATCTGAAGCCACTAACCTTTACTTGCAGCTGTTTCTCCCTTTACTGATATCACCCAAATTTGTCAACTAAACTTGCACACGTGCTTGGGATTTGATGTATGTAAAGTTTCCTTCTAGAGCAAACTAATGTCTGAGTTCTGAAAATCTAGAGTTGGTAAATATTTCACTTAAAGACCATTGATATTAGTTAGTGAATGTCACTTCTGAAAGAAATTACAAATTTTAAGAGATACTGAAAGAACTGCAAAGAGAGCAGTTTACAGAATACTGTATGGGAGGAACATCAAGATTTAGGCCATCTGTCTAAAGATGTTGCCCAGTCGTAGGTTTAATATATACTAGGATAAATTATATTCTATACTCAATTTTGTTTATAAAGCCAGGGGTCAAGCTGATTTTTATGACTTGATATTCTATTGGCAATCATCTAGCTTCATTTTATGATTGAAGTTTTGAAAAAGTATGAATTTGAGGTTTGTTATGCAGTGTAAGCCTAGAGAATACATTTACTGAACGCAGAAGGTGGCACTGTCTACTCTTCAAAGTTCTTGTACCTTTTTTGTTTAATAAACTTCAGTTAAGCAGAATGCCATATAATTGCATTTCACTGAGGCATAACATCGCAAATATTAGACCATGTCATTCTGATGTGTTGTGGATGGCTAATTATAATTTTATGTCCTAGATAAGGATTTTGTGTGTGTTTTTTTTTTGGTGTGTGTGTGAAGATGTAGATATCTCAGTGGTTACAGCCTATCTGCAAATTCTTAAATGTTGTTTTGAAAGTTTAGCAGAGCTCTTCTCTGGTTAAATCTCTTAAAGAGATCCTTTTCCCACTTCTCTTGTCAAGGATATTGCTGCATACCGGGCTAAAGGAAAGCCTGATGTAGGAAAAAAGGTAGTTGCCAAGGCTGAGAAGAGCAAGAAAAAGAAGGAGGAGGAAGAGGATGAAGATGATGAGGAAGATGACGATGAGGATGAAGATGATGAGGAAGATGACGAGGAGGATGAAGATGATGATGAATAAGTCTCTTCTAGAGCAGTTTCTTGTCTATAAAGCATTTAAACCCCCTGTACACAACTCACTCCTTTTAAAGAAAAAAATTGAAATGTAAGGCTGTGTAAGATTTGTTTTTAAACTGTACAGTGTCTCTTTTTTTGTATAGTTAACACACTACCGAACGTGTCTTTAGATAGCCCTGTCCTTAGTGGTATTTCAATGGCCACTAAACTTGCCTGGTACAGTGTGGGGGTTGTAAATTGGCATGGAAGTTTTAAAGCAGGTTCTTGTTGGTGCACAGCACAAATTAGTTATATATGGGGATGTAGTTCATTTTTCATCTTCAGTTGTCTCTGATGCATCATAAAAATAATTGTTGTTCTGTTAACTGAATACCACTCTGTAATTGCAAAAAAAAAAAAAAAAAAAAAAAGTTGCAGCTGTTTTTGTTGACATTCTGAATGCTTCTGAGTAAATACAATTTTTTTATTAGTATTGTTGTCCTTTTAATAGGTGCCCTTGAAAAATCATAATTTTTCTTTTTTGAGGGGAACTCATCTTTGCTTTATTGTATGCCCATTTGGGATCACGTGATTATTACAGTTTTCATCTTTTCATATAACCAGCTGATAAACAAAGCTTTGATCTGCATACCCTTCATAATCATGATAGGGTAGGAAAATATATAGGCATATGATAAAACAGAATTTTCTTCCGTAACTGGAAACAAAAAATTTCATCCAACTGATATTTGCTCGGATTTTGTGAAATGTAATATTGAGTTGCGTAAGTTTACCAGTCTTGGAGAGTTGAGAAGTGTATAGAATTCAATTTTACAGTATGGAATACTTCAGAAAAAACCTCTAAAATGCTGTCCTAGAAGGACCAGTAGGAAGGGTATACTCTCATCATTGTGTGTGGGGAATTTACATGTGACTCCATTACTATGTAATGGAAGTTGTATTTGTAAATCTCTGAACACTTGTAAGAGATAAACATGCCCCTAAAATGTATGAAGTTAAAAATTATAAAAGTACCATATTAATTTTTTTGTGACAACGTAGTGATGGCTATGGATTTTATACCATGAAACTCTCCTGGTAGTAAATAGCCCACAAGAAAGGATTTTACGTTCCAACATTTTTATAAATGGTACCATTATTTGTTAAATCTATGTAAATTCATATTTTTAATTTTAAATTCTAGTTTTAGCCCTTTAAACAAAGTTGTATATTGTCTCAAACTAAAATGAGATAAGATGTATTTTTCCTGTTAGGTTTTATACCGCACTCTTCATGTTTGCCCATTTATAAGTTAAATATAGTTGTATGGAAAAGTACATTTTATTAAATTTTTGCATTTAAAAAGTGAAATGTTTAACTATGATATACCAACAATGTCTAATTTGATCAAATATAGTTCTCTTCCAAAACCAAAGCAAAGTTTTTTTGCATATTCAGTAAAACTTCAAGTGCTGGCAACTGTAACTATTTTCACATATACCTGCTTACCAGTTTGGGGGACAATTTGGCAATTTTGTGGTTATAAAATTATGGTTCTCAAGTGCCAGTGTTTAAAAATAGCATTGTAATTTTACACGCTTTTGTGATGGAGTATTGTTTTGTTATACAATTTTGACTTTCAGATTCTTATTTCAATTTGCATTTATGTATAACTTCAGGAGAAATACTGAACACCTGAATCCTGGATGATACTAATAAACTAATAATTGCAGAGGTTTTAAATATTTAGTTAACTGACTCGCTTTTGTATCCTGTACACATTTACATATTTGCTTTCAGCCTCAAACAAAAGAGGAGTGCCAATCAAAAGATCTCTTCATGGAGAGCAGGAAATATAGGACAGATAAACTTATTTAAATATTTGTGATTGGACACTGCTCTTAAACCATAATTCACTAGAAATAACTTTTTATACAGTAGATTGTTTGTTTGTTTGTTTGTTTGTTTGTTTCTCTTGGACATGCTGGAGAAAATTGATTGATATTTTTTGTCCTCAAAACAAGGGATATGTGTTCTAAATCCATGATTGACAAAACTAAAACTCAGAGTAATTACTCTGTCTCAAAAAATGGGTGGTAAGTGTCCATTTGTCAGAAAAGGACAATAGTTATCTCTTGCCACAATTGTCAGTGTCTTTTGTCTTCAGTAAAGGTGAAAATGCAAGGGGGAAAAAACCCAGCATCCCTAAGTGTGAAGGTAAGTGATGGGGGATCTGTAATAATTAGGCTTTGAAGAATTTGATTATTTTTACAATTTTGATGGATATCCATGTCTGTTTTTAAGCATTTTTCTATTTATCAATTTAATTTTAATAGTTGGGAAATTACAATAATTTAATGACCGTAGATGTTGAGATTCAAAAAAATTAAAGCTTTATAGCCATTAAAACACACATTCTCAACATGTCAAAACATACGAAGCAAGCAGCGCTTAGTGTTTATCTGTAAATTTTGATGAATGGAAATATTTTTCACTGGGTTGAATGTGTACAGTGAAATTAACATTTACATATGAAAATTAATCCTTCCAACCCTAATTATAACTGCTATCTTCTGAACAAGAACCAAAGGTAAAACTTTCTTCAAATTACAGTTCATAACTCTTGAGGTTCTACTGTATGGTTCTACATGTTCTAAGGGCTTTAACCTTTTATATAAGAACTTGCTTTTGGGAGAGGACATTGCTGGCATATGTATTCTGGTATTTAGGATTGGGGAAAGATTTTTGCATGAAGATTGACTAAGGAGTAATATCTTACTTGAAATATAAGATCAGTTATGGACTCATTCATAATAACCTTTGGTTAGTTTTGGATTTGTCATAGATCTTGAAGCAAGCTGAAGCCTCTCCTACTAATCTTAGAGAGAATTCACATTCAGTTTTTGCACTGATTTTTAACAAAATATATAATTAACATGACTCTATATTTGGTGTAACTGTCCAAGCTAGAGGGTTGCACCAGTTTAACTAAATCAGTTTTTCTACTGATTTTAGTTAAATATGCAAAATTGATTGTAGACAAACCCATAGAAATTTGAGGTAACTGGTATCAAATGTCTCCAGGTTTCTGCAGCATAATTAGGACAATGCTAACATCTCTGAGCCTGAACCCTTTTTAATGGCTTTTATTAGCAGAGCAAGCCCATCGAGAACAATGTCTAATTTGATCAAATATAATTTTCTTCCAAAACCAAAGCAAACTTTTTTGCATATCCAGTAAAACTTAAGTGCTGGCAACTGTAACTATTGGCTTTCTCTTTGACTGCTATTCCAGATTTCTATGAACTTTAAAAGTACCCCTAACAGGAGGATAACCTAGCCAGCTTTATATAAAATAGAATTAAAACTTTTTTTGGTGGGGGACAAAGAGCTTGAACAGTTTACCAACACTTACTATCCTGAGGGCTAAGCCTGCTAGCCAGGATAAAATAGGGTGACCAGACGTCCTGATGATATTGGGACAGTCCGCATTTTAGGGGACTTGTTCCACGTCCTGACCTTACATTGGTTGGACACCCTTTGTCCCGATAGCGGGGACTCTCCGCTCACCGCTTCCTGGGGCAGCTCCTGGCACCTGAGATTGGATCACGCAGGACTGCGGGCGCCTGCTTCACCCGAACCTGCAGTCACTGCATCTCATGGCATGGAAACTCTGTGGTTGAACGCTATGGAGAGCCGGTGATCTCTTCAGGTTCGACAAATTCTCGGCAGTAGGAAACCTTCCACTAGGGCGACACATCTGGCTAAGTGGAAAAGATTCTCCTGCTGGTGTGAACCAAAACAGATACAGCCACTTCAGGCCTCCATTCCAGTCATCCTGGAATATCTCCTGCATCTCAAACATCAAGGTCTCACTCCCTCCTCGATTACAGTGCATCTGGCTGCCATTTCGGCATTCCACCCGGGGGAGTCGGGGGATTCTGTGTTTTCCAACCCCATGGTAGCCCAGTTCCTCAAAGGAGTGGAGAGGGTGTTTCCCTACTCATGCCCACCGGTCCCTCCCTGGAACCCTAACCTGGTCCTAACCAAGCTCATGGGACCCCCTTTCGAGCCCCTAGCCTCTTGCTCTTTTCCTCACCTTTCTAGGAAGGTGGTGTTTTTGGTGGCCATTATGTCCACAAGGAGGGTGTCTGAGTTGAGGGCCCTCACCTCGTAGCCCCCTTATACAGTTTTTTATAAGGACAAAGTGCAACTTAGGCCACACCCTAAATTCCTCCCTAAGGTAGTCTTGCAATTTCATATGTGACAGGACATTTGTTTGCTGGTGTTCTTCCCCAAACCACACACGGATCCGAGTCACCGTAGCCTGCATACTCTAGATGTCCGTAGGGCCCTGGCGTTCTATCTGGAGCGAACTAGACCTTTTCCGCAAGTCGACGCAGTTGTTCGTCGCCATTGCTGAGAGAATGAAAGGTCTTCCTGTCTCCGCACAATGGATATCATTGTGGATTGTGGACTGTATCTGTACGTGCTATGAGCTCGCCAAGGTGCCAGCCCCGGCGATCACGGCTCACTCGACTAGGGCTCAAGCATCCTCAGCAGCTTTCCTGGCACCGGTCCCGATCCAGGAGATCTGTAGAGCAGCCACCTGGTCGTCGGTGCACGCATTTACAGCCCACTACGCAGTCAATCATCAGGCCAGAGATGACGCTGCTGTTGGCAGGGCTGTTCTTCAATCAATTGTTCCATGACTCCTACCCTTCTCCTATGGTAAGCTTGTGAGTCACCTAATGTGTAATGGACGTGAACAATCACTCGAAGAAGAAAAAACGGTTACTAACCTTTTCGTAACTGTTGTTGTTCGAGATGTGGTGTTCACGTCCATTACACATCCCACCCTCCTTCTCCTCTGTCGGAGTCTCTGGCAAGAAGGAACGGAAGGGGGGTCGGGTTGGCAGGGGTATATATGCACCAGCATGAGGCGTCACTCTGGCGGGGGCTCCCCTGCCGGCCCGACGGGAGCCGCTAAGGGGAAAAGTTTCCGACATCCGTGCACGCGGCGCGCGCACACCTAATGTGTAATGGACGTGAACAACACATCTCGAAGAACAACAGTTATGAAAAGGTTTTTTCAGAATGAGTGTCCACACATGGTTATTCCATAACAACTATTCCATTTTAAATTATGAAATAATTTTCATGTGCAGACAAGCCCTCAGACTTTCTTCTGACGTTTGAGTAACAAAGTACAAACAAATGAAAACTTTCAATATTTTGTTCAGTTAGCATAATTTTCATGTCTTTCTGATAATTATGGCACTACAGTGGAACAGCCACAGTGTAGTAGCTGTGCCCGTTGTAGCAGCTGTAGTGCAGGCATACCTGAAGGGGTTGGCGGGGTGCCTGTGTCTATACGTTTGCATGTCTGCCTTTTGTTATTCCCTTAGGAGGTGATGACTTTGTCAAGAAGCTTTTATGCTTTTCCCTGATTTTCCTTTTTAAATACCAGGGCCTTAGGGCACGTCTTCA